CGTATGTACGAACCGGTGTAGAAGGCATTGGAGGACTTGGCTGATGGTGATCCATGCCCGGAGGGAGCGCAGCCTGTAGAGCCATTGGATCTATGGGTGACCCTGGGCTAACATCGTCGTCGAAACGATCGTAGGGTTGGTCCCAGTATGTTGAGATACCAGGAAGGTTGGCAGACATTTGAGGAACGTCGGGCGGAGAAACGCTTGGCTCTTGCCGTGACAGACCAGCTTGCGTCTGTTGAGTATCGAGATGCGATCCATCTAAGTTCTGAAGCGGGATAGACAGGCGCCGCGCTGGGCGCCCGTCTTGATCCCAAGAGTGTGAAGACATGGACCAACGAAAGGACTAATGACCACCAATGCGGTCCAATGTCATGGAGAATGGTGATTATTGGTACTACTACCAGAATGAAGCATCGTTAACGCTTCATGGGGGGGAAATGATAAGAGAGCGTGAACTAAGTATTGCTCAGGGTTATTCGTGGAAGCGAAGAGGTAGCCAGTTCGCTACATCCTAATCAGGAGTCCTAATAAGATACCGCAGGACGGCTGGATGTGACAGTAAGGTCCAACTTACGCACTGTACGCACAGCAGCTTCTTTGGCAAAGTGCCATGAAATGCCGTGTGCTTTTAATAGAACAAGGTTTCTGCTACAGTGTGGAGAGTTTCATCCCCTGGAAAACGGAGGTCGTAAGCTGAATTCCCAGGAGCCAGGGTACCTTAGCTTACCTGGTACCTCTTAGTAGGTTAGTATCTTGGTCAAAAAGTGATACTGGTAGTGGCATGTGCTTGTGGCTGACGGCGCCACAGCTCGTTAGCTTTTCGCGACCTGCAAACGCCTTAAACACGCTTCTAACATTTGTAACGCGACTGGCTGGCATCCTGACATCGACATCATCAACTTTTCTTCAACCATGCCGTCTCGCAAGCGCTCGCTTGCAGCCATCGATGGCGACGATGGAGAAAAAGAACATCCATTACAGCATCGCCTCCGTAATATGTGGCAATTTGCGAACCTCTGCCAGTGGATATACATATTTGGCAAGGCTGCGAAAATCGACGAAGCTATCGATGTTGAGGTATGATCACACAGCAATCCAGTACTTCAGTAATGGACAGGCGCACAAACTAACAAATTTCATAGGAAATTGAGACAGAATGCCTCAAGCCGAACTCCAGCATCTTGGCGGACATTGCCCTTGCCCTTCTCAAACTAGTTTCGTCGCATCGTGGTTTAACGTACGTTTCCAGAAATTGGGATATGTTATTTTTGCTAATGGTGATTCGAAGGCATGAAATTTTCGATGACCAAGCACGAAAACAATTCACGAAGAAATCGCCGAACTACAATCCCTTCGGTTCTGGTGAAACACCCCTCAAATTCAACGATTTCGACATTTTTACCAAGGTAGGCCATGAAGAAATTATGAGGCCCGGCCAGTGATCCGAGGCTAATATACACTGCTTGAGTAGATCAAGGTCATGCAACAACTGACCCAATGGGCCATGATCCATCCTGAGCGTATTCGGGATAAGATGGAAGAGCAAAAGGATAGCGAGCAAACAAGTTGGGTAAGTTCACATCTCAACGAGAAGAGGCTTAGCCACTAACAGAATTCCAGCGAATAGAACCTTACGGTTGGGATGCAGATGACAGAACCTACTTCGTGCTGGACGATAACCGAGTGTATCGGCTTACAGAACCTCCGATGATTACGAAACCCACCAAAGCAAAGAAATCCAGATCATCGTATGGAAGTCGACGCTCCAGCAAAAGACGACAAATAACCTTGAATGCGGAAGAAGTGGTTGGAACAGATCAAGAAATCAAAGAAGATACCCCTCTTGAAGATGATGGCCTGGGTGGAATGACATGGGAATGTCTCGCCGTAACTCTTGATGATGTACGATCTGTCGTGGATGGTTTTCGGAAGAGCCGTGACGAGAATGAGAAAATCCTGCGCAACCAACTAGAAAAACATCTCGTTCCTATCCTTGAAAAACAAGAACAATCTCGGCAACGCAGAGAGTTACAGCGAGAGCGAGAGCTAGCGAACGCTGCCAAAATGGCAAATGCAAAACGATCGAGCCGAATTGCTGGGAGAGTTGAACAACAGAGGCAGGAGGAGCAGATTCGAGAGGAAGAACGACACCGAAAGGAGGAAGAAGCAAGCAAACGACGAGAAGAATTGGCGCAAATTAAAATGGAAGAGGAGCGCGATAAAAGACTGGTGTCTCGTGAACAACGGTTACGAGAACGCGAGGCACGACGCGTCCAGCATGAGGAAGAACTTGCACAACTCTCCGAAGACAGCAAGAACTTATCAAGTAACAGCACACGATTATCTGAACGCCGCCTTCAAGTTGAAATTGAGAAAAACAAGCAAGCTCTGAAGAAGCTCGAGGATGCGGAAGAAGATTGGATTTTCGACTGCACTTGTGGTCTCTATGGCCAAGTGGACGATGGAGCTCACAGCGTAGCTTGTGAGAGATGCAATGTCTGGCAACATAGTCAATGTGTTGGGCTGAGCGAAGTAGCAGCTGACCAGCCAGAATTCCACTATATATGTGCTTCTTGTATTCGGCGCGAGCAAGAAGCCAAACGTCCTAGACCAACCATCAAGCTGAAGCTCAATCGTCCACCTAACTCCGGCACCCGGTCAGATCCATCTCGCTCTTCAAGTCACTTAGGGTTATCTTTTAGTGGGGAGGATCGAAAGGTCAACGGGACAGGGTATGGAGACCACGACGTATCTAACGGAAACGTTGAACATAGCTTGACTCCATTGGCTTCCACCCCTGATACCAATGGCAATGGCGTTGGTTTTGCAATTAGTATGATGGACGCCCGCTCAGAGATGAGTAAGGAGGCGCTTGGCACACCCCAAGGGACACCGGTGATCCCGGCACCTGTCAAGCTAGATGTCAGCATCCAGGGCAGCCCACCACGCAGTACGTCTATGACCACACCGATGACGTCCTTCCGGACACCTAGTCCTTCGAAAGGTATCGATAGCTTCCAGGGGGATAAAACAGCTGAGTCGGCGTTGAGCACACCTCAGATCAGCCGCGAGATATATCGAGCAGCTCACGAGCAGAACGGGACTATACCTTCTATCGCTGGGCTCTCCCCAACCAAGCATTCACCACCTCGCCCCATCGACTCTGCCAGTTCGAATAGATACAAGGCTGCTACTCCAATACTTCCTCCAATCGCACTATCACCCTCTCCTCAACATCAGATTTTGACTCCGCCAATCAAACCATCGGAGCCACCAAGACCGTTTGAAAACCGATGAACACTCCAAGCACGGAGATTTAATGAGGCATGGGCCCTGGTCAACGCCACGGCTGTGTTAGGAAGCTCTCTAAACCATGTTTAGGCTTGACATGAGACTTATCACTAAGCCAACTCCAACAGCAATACAAGCACAACCAATACCATGATGGTGTTAACGAGAAAACGCTGAGTCATTTTCTCTCATTGGAGAGGGTTAGAACTATTCAAAACAATCGCCTGTCATGGGGCCTTGAATGAGAGGATGGCACAGGCAGGTCAAATCACACTTTCCCCAATCTGTAAGGGCTCTATACTCGTCTCCAGATCAAACAAGGCAAGTGGAAGACCAACAGAATTTGTGATCTGATACACTGCAGCAACGCGAGACGCGAATGGCCGAACCTAAACCGAAAATAGGGTGTCTATCAACATTGCTGGGCGTGATGAAAATGGTGGTCAGGAACAAATGGCCAAAGCTTCGAATAGAAGCCAGTTTCTTTTTTGGACGCCAGGACGAAATAGTCTTAAAGGCAGAGATGATCTGCCAAAACATAACCAACAGGCCAGGCCGGTACAGGGTTAGATCAAGCTGGACAATTATGGATTATTTGGTTGGTTAGTCGTTCGGCTACCGCGACACATCAAACAGACGCTGCCAGCACGACTGCGAGTGGCCGCTTGGTCCCAGTTATCCGGCACTTGAAGCAAACATGCGACAGCACTCCACATAACAAGCCTGGTAACGCATGGCAGGGCAAGACTGCTAATGGAAGCAAAGCAAAACGGGGGTTGACAGGAGCTGTTGGAGTAGCAGGATTACGAGACGCCTTTGGTTATAAGTAAGAGAATATGACGGATATTAGATCGAGATCGATTCACCAAACAATAGAAAGTCAACAACGTCTCAAGTTAGGATGGTTGATGACAGCCAGAGGGGCCAGAGGGGCCGGATGCGCACGTCAAAGGAATGCGCCGTGGCTGAACTAGCGGCATGCGAATAAGGCGGTGCAGGGGAGCACAATCAAAAGTATGACATTCTGTTTCTATTGAATGGATTGCGGCCGGACGCCAAGCGGCCCCATCTCTTAAGCTCATAGGGCTTCTATTCTATTTGTGCTTCTCCATGTTGGCCCGTGTGCAGTGTGGTGGGTGGTATAGAGTGGAGGATACCGGCCAACGACACATGTAAATGCAGCTTGGAGAGGTCTACCACTCTGGTAACGGTCCGCATTGCGATCTGTTTCCCAACAGGATAGTCGTCTGCTCCGGTTCCTTTGAACTTAGGAGCGTAAGGTCGCTGCTTGTCTATTTGTGGGCATGGTCCTGGCGTTGTAGACATATCTATGGTATCTGAATGTCCCAAGCACATACAAAACCACATGTGGCAGCTCAAAGAAATCCGACAAAGACGCCCTTGCTGAGTGCTCTACCCTCAGGTCGCTTAAGACCAACATAGCTACTGTCAAAAGACCAGACTTTATCTCTTCATCTACATTGTGCAACTTACAAAGTCCACTTGCCGTTGTTCACTATAGTACCTGCGTCGTTCCATTGGCTCCATCATCATCACCATCAACAACAACACAGGACTCTTTTCTATCCTTGCATCCCGTTGCCAAAAACAATACCTAAGAGCGGCGTAAGACACGCGACATGCCGCAACAGATACTTCCAACTCCGCCATCTTCTTCTGACGGCTTCTCTCAACAACCAGTGGTCATGGAGTCACATACTTCGTATCCTCAAGGCTCTATGAGCCCAGAACAAAACTTTGCCGGCTACTCTTACTCGACTCGATACTCTACCCCCGTTCGTGACGACGACTCTTCTGTGTATGAGCCATCAACTGTCTATTCTCAAAGAAGCGATGTTTCGTTTGTAAGTCAAAGAGACCCAGGCAAGTTGCCATCATAGCTAACCTGCGACACTAGCAAGGTTATGCTGGAGGTCTAGGTATCACAAGTAACCCTTATGGTCCTTTGCCCGATGAGATCGGCTACAATGTAGGTTTCACGAGAGCACATGGAGAGCCAATAGCTGAGCCAACGAAGCAGAACCGTCTCCCGTACACTCCGGAAGCGTCACCTTCAGCACCTTGCCCATCTAGCGATGCAATTACCACTCGCAGCGGTCTCAATATCGCTAAGAAATTGCTTACCACACGATCACCAGCGGTGAGAACTGGTCGAGTTCAGAAGAGAAGCCGTGCAGAGAAAACCAAGAATGCCACCAACATGCTTTCAAAACCGCTTTCCGAAGCTGCCAGAGACTTTCCCGATATTCACGTTGCTGATATCGAGGCCTTTGTCAGTCGACCAACTGAAGAGAGACTATCAGAAACTTCGCGTAACAAAAAGGCTGGTCAGATCAAACGTCCCATGAATGCTTTTATGCTATACCGAAAGGCGTACCAGGAAGTCGCTAAGACGCAATGTTCTCAGAACAACCACCAGCATGTCTCAAAAGTCTGCGGTGCCGCATGGGTCTTGGAGCCAGCGCAAATCAAAGAGAATTTTGATCAATGGGCCAGAATAGAGCGTGTGAACCATCAGCGAGCGCACCCCGGATACAAGTTCACACCCTCAAAGCCACGAAAGGCCAAACGGGATGGGGATGGGGATGGCAATGACGACTATTCAGACAACGACTCAGATTGGAACGGCGGACGTACCCGGAAGTCCAGATTCCGCCATGCTACACGACTAAGCGAGACACCAGTCGCCTACGATGCTGCGGGCAATGCGATCGGAGAGCCAGCCATGCCATCTTACCATGACATGTATGCTTACCCTGCTCTAGGTCGGCCTCATTCACTGCCATACGACGATATCACACCCAACTCATTTGACCTGGGCATTCGTCAGTACAGTGATCTCAACATCAATAGCGAAGTAATCAGCAGAACCCCTTCTCCTGGTGCCATCGACTACCCCGTACACGGGCTTGATGGATTCGCCAACTACTACGGACCACCTGGATCAGGTTTTGACAATGCCGCTCCCCATCTCTTCGGACCTGCTCAGTACGATATCTATGATGGGATCCCTGCCAGCGTCCCTTTTGACCAAGAAGGCTGGGTGTCTCACATGGAAAGTGGTCAAGACCTGATGCCAGTCATGGGAGGTTACGAAGACACCACAGCACAAGACGTGTACCTGAAGGGAAGCAAAGATGATTGGAAAGTCGAAATCATGGACGAGCCTGGTCACTTCGAGGATTGGTATGCACAGACTGAGCAGGGGCTCCAGTGATAACAGGCATATTGATGTCCCCGTGTAATTGTAGCAATTTTTCCTTGCGTGTTTTACTATTTGGGAGAATGGATTCGAGCATCATACTGGATCGAGCGGTTTGATTTAGACCTGGTTTTTCTTAGGAGTACATATTTTAAACAAGAATCGGTAGGGTTTTGGCAAACACCCATGACTAGGATTTTCTTATCTCAATGTGTAACTAATTCGAATCATTCTTTCCGAAAGCTTGTGTGTCATGTGCATGGATGAGGTAGTGGAGAATGGCGCAGGCTTAGTCATTGGATGCTAGTACCCCTACCTAGGTACCTTGCCAGGCTTGCCAAGCTTGCCTACATTTATCTAGTAGCCGCGACTTGTCCCCAAGACGACGTCCATCTTCATCGTAACTGTGTCCAAGCTGTCTGATTCGAATACAGGATGACTTGGATCTCTAAAACGGTGACCGTTACTGGTCTAGTTCTATTAGCACATGCGTAAGCTCGCCAATTCTTGGTATCTTCACAGGAAACTGACAATCACTCCAGTTGCTACTCCGCGCAAGAGCACTCTGTCATCTCGTCAACTGCGGTGCATCATAGCCAACCGCAGCCGCTCGCAACACACTCGCTCCCAATCGACATATCGATCGAAGCACTGGTAGCGACTTCGATCATTGTCCTGGGCTTGGTTCTGGGAACTCCAAAGCTTCGGCCAATTAAGTGGCACGAATGGGCTGGCAAGATTGAGCGCGAAGGAGAGGTTGGTTTCCAAACAGGAAGTGGCGAGGTGGAAAAGGACTACCGGGGAAACCCTTTCAGTGTGCTTGAGACGAGGCCAGGTTTCATTGACATCCGCAAGCAGCGCCGTGAATTCACGAGCTGGGTCAAGGCTGACGAGAAGTGAGGACAAGAGCTCAGACACCTAAGATGGGCGACATCACACCCTTATCGATTTGACGGATTTCTATCTTAGCAGAAAGAACCGCTGCTGAAGTCATACTCCTGGCGTGCTCAGGAGTATGTACGATTCAACAGGGTTGACGAGCGACTAGCTTCCAGAACCAAATAGGTAGAGAGTCTATTCATATACCTGCATGATCACATTCAATACTGCATTAACCAGTTGCACCGATTGGAACAATACCTACTAGGTAGGTCCTGAAGTAGGAACTCAAAATAATGCTGGCACTTGCCAGAAATGCCTACCTTAGTAGGTAGGATAGTTTATGAATCTCCTTGTATGAGGTAAAATTTGCGATTGAGTTCCTTTCACGCGTGTATCCTTCCTTCCCAACTACAATGGCCAAGGAAACCTCCAAAGCAACCTATAGGGGATAACTAAAGCAATAAAAGGCTCCTGCCTTGAATCACATAGACGACTACAGAAGGTCACTCCCGTCCTGATCTCTGCTCTTGCCATTGGATGCCTGATAATTGCGCGGTGTGTTAAGGTCATCCTTCTCCCTCCACGCATATCCCCTCTGATCTTCCGGCAACAAGCTTATTAAATTCACTCAGTCAATATGCCCAAGACGCCAGGCTCGAGTGCTTCTGGCTCAAGTCGTCGTGGTCGAGGTCGAGGAGGTAGAGGTTGGAGAGGCCGCACTTACAACCGCGGGGACAGTGGTGGTTTGTCCTCCAGAGGTGGCTCAACACGGTCGCGAGCTCGTAATCCCTCTTCATCAATCCGCTACAGTCCTGCTTCCCGGAACCAAGAACAATATTCTGATTCACAAGAACCGCAGACGCCCGGCGCCGACACTCGTGCTCGAAGCAGCAGTGAGCCCATTCAACATGAAGTTGTCATGGCCATCGATCTGAGGGAGAATTTCACCATTGGGTGTGCATATTTCTCAACTAGTGACGGGATTCTCCATGTATCAGAGGACATTGCCACGGCTTCACTCGACATTGCGGAGCAATTTCTTATCCACATCCAACCAACCAGTCTTCTTGTATCGGCAAGAGCACCTTCTAGTTTCCGGGACCAACTGGAAAGGATCGCTGCATCAGAAGGTCAGCGAGAATACATTTATCTTCAAATTCATAGGATGAGCAACTGACGAGAGGCATGAATAGGTGCCTCAGGAGGTGTCATTTTCCGCGGCTTGCAGTCGTCAGAGTTCTCAATCGAGACGGCACACGAACGACTTGTCAGCCTCGATTCTCAAGCTTTGTCTGCTACTGGTATCGTATTTTCCACAGGGATTGAGGAGGACGGAAGTGAAGAATCCATACCGGGTCTTTCCCAACCTGAGTCGCAAGCATTCCGTCAACTTCGCTATGGAGGTTGCATAAACATGAGTAGCCAGGTATCAGTAAGTGCACCCTTCTCGTATTGTGATTGGGATGTTAATATGCTTTAGGTGGGATGTGCTGGTGCCTTACTTGGCGATATTCTTCGTCGACGAACCGCTGGTTTTCTCCCTGATGGACAAGTTGCCGGAGTTCTCTTTCGTGTTGTTGATATCCGCATGTTTTCCCTTAATACTTACATGTATGTCAGTACTGACGCTCTCTTGTCACTGCAAATTCTGCAGACCGAATTGCACCCCAACAGCCAAGCGAGCAAGAGCAATTCGAAAGAAAGTCTTTCTGTATATGGACTGTTCCATCACCTGGCTTGTACCCCTCAGGGACGTACACAACTACGTCAACTCTTCCTTCGACCCCTGTTGGACCTCGACATCATTTCGGAGAGGCAGAGAACCATCGCAGTATTGCTTCAACCAAACAACGCTGACAAACTTGCACAATTGACTTCGACCCTACGCAAAGTTCGAAACATGCGCACCACTTTAGCGCAGTTGCGAAAAGGTATTGAGTTTCCCTCTGCTGGTCAATCTTTCGATAGGGGCGTATGGGCAACAATCCAGAAGTTCACCACCCAAGCTCTGACTCTCAGAGAAATGATAGGCTTGTTTAATGGAGGCTCTGATATAGTGATCTTCAAGAAAGTAAGGAGTTGCCACAGGAAGTGACCTGACAGTTGAAGCTAATGGCATTGACTAAGCTGATTCATTCCCTCGAACCGGCCAGCTTAGTAGTTGTTGGAGACATGATCAACAAGGCAATCGATTTTGAACAGTCCAAGGAACGCCACAGATCCTCCGTCAGAGCCGGAACAGATACTCAACTTGACGAACTAAAAAGACGGTATGACGGGATGGACAGCTTCCTGACAGAAGTTGTAAACCAACTCAATAGGGAGTTACCACAATGGGCACGTAAATATGTTCGGTCGTGCATCTTTCTGCCACAAATAGGTTTCCTCACAGTGGTGGAATCAAATCGCCTCACAGGTAACGGGCAATATGAAGGAGAGGGAACAGCTGTTGCAGCGTGGGAAAAGTTGTTTACTGCGGACGGTGCAGTGTGTTACAAAAACAGCTACATGAGAGAGTTAGATGAGGAATACGGAGACATGTATTGCCAGATTGGAGGTGAGTTTGTTGTCAGTAGTGCTTTGCAGGCTTGAACTCACACGAGGCAGATCGGGAGGTGGAGATCATACATGGGCTTGCAGGTAAAGTTTTGGAGCACGAGGAGCATCTCTTGCTTGCCTCAGAGATGTGTGGTGAGTTTGATGCAATACTTGCCCTTGCGCTTGGTGCCGAAAAGTACGATTGGCATGCACCACAAATGGTGGAAGCAAGCATTATTCACATCGAGGAAGGCCGCCATCCTCTGCAAGAACTCGTTGTGCCGGCCTTCATCCCAAATCCCTGCCATCTCTTTACAGGGACATCAAACATAGCGGCGGTCCAAGACGGCTCTCCTCAGGCTCTGGTACTGACTGGGCCAAATCACTCTGGGAAGAGTGTCTATCTGAAGCAAACAGCTATAATTGTGTATCTTGCCCACATCGGCAGTTTTGTGCCGGCAGTTCAGGCAACAATCGGGCTTACAGAGAGCATCTTGACTTGCATGTCTTCCAGGGAAAGCATGTCTGGAGGTGAGAGCGCTTTTGCAAGAGACATGAAACAAGCTGCGCTATCAATGAAATCATCAACACCCAGAAGCCTCATCTTGGTAGATGAATTCGGGAGAGGGACCAATGGCGATGACGGTGCCGGACTGCTATCCGCGCTACTGGACTACTACCTATCTCTCGGACCCAAATGCCCTCGACTACTTGCTGCCACGCACTTTCATGAAGTTTTCGAGTGCGCGTATTTGGGAAATCACAATGGGTTACGCATTGCGCACATGAACGTCAGAATGGACTGGAATGCGTCACTTGTGGATGATCAAATGACCTTTCTCTTCAACCTTGAGTATGGTCATAGCACGTCGAGTTTTGGAGGTAGATGTGCAGCTTTGAATGGGGTGCCAAGCGCAGTGGTTGAACGCGCCGAAAACATTTCAAAGTTGCTGGCCCGAAGCGAAGACCTGAGTGCTGTTTGTGCCCGCCTTTCTCGAGCAGAGGAAGTCCAGCTTGGCAAAGCAGAGATGACTGCGCGGCTGTTTCTAAGCGAGACCTTCGGCGACCAAGACGAGGCCAACTTGAACGAGGAAGAACATACGAGGGGTTCTATTATTGAGGTCTTAGAGGACATACTATCACCTAATATTTGAGCAGCTGTTGCCGAGTCAATATGAGATCGAACCAAACGAGGGGGCAATTTGTAAGGGCTATGAGAGGGCTACGGCTGAGCATTTTTCTTCACTTCTTCGTCATGATTCCATCAAGATCTTTGCCGTCAAGTGTATACTACATCTATCAACCCTCGTTAATAAAGCCTATTGCTGCATCTAGAGTCTCATTGAACTTGCTACCCGACGGCTGAAAGACATTAGAATGTTATCTCAGTCAGTAGGTTCCTACATAATCATGAACTTTAGAGAAGGACTATCGAGCCTTTTCTTATAGCTTCATGGAATCGTTTGAAACCGTACAGTTTTCCACTGTGAAGCTCCTGAGAACTATGTTGCGTTTTCAATGAGGCTTGGGAATGTTTGAGTACCTAGTGAAGCAAACACATCGCCAAGCAAATACCCTCAAGGCCAAGATCGAAAAGATTTCAGGTAATACATGGCGAAAGATTAAAAGTGGCCAACCCGACGACACAGGGCTGAATAGTCACCCGAGTCAATATTTGTTGCTGTACTATTCTATATACAAAACCAAAAACATGCATACCTTCCACATCAAGCGCCCGTCAAGTCTTTCAGTATGATCGAATTTCAGATCTTACATATAATATGATAAGCACACTTCATAGTTTTAAGCCATAACAACGTAGGCTATTCATAAAATGCGTCATAACTGCAGTCATTCGCTATGTTGAGCGCAAATATCCCTTTGAGTACCGAAGCAAAAAAATGTCTTCCCCAGCAGCGGTAGCAGGACGATAAATCAAACCTGGTACACTAGCACCAGAGATCATGCTTGCAAGGCCCATGATCGTTGTATCAAGCTGCATATCAGCTTGTTTGGCACCTAAAGCAGGACGTTGAGTATGGCAATGCCGGCCCCAAAACCCACAAAACACAAGGCAAGTCTGTTGGAGGATGAGGCATCGTTCCCATAATCCGAGCAGTCATCACTGGAAACGTTTCTGCAAGCACGAGAGCTTAGACTAGAGCAGACCGCGGTTGCTGATGACGATCCCAGAGCCTGTCCACCGCCCTGAACTGTTGTACCTCCGCCACCAGGTACAACTATAGTGACACCATATTGGCCTCCATCTCCGAGGAAATTAACACACTGATCGTAGTTTTTTTCGCATGCATCAACGGCCGAGGTGCATGCAGCTTCGTTTGTAAAGGTTGTGGCAGCATAAGGGAAGGCGAAATATGAGTTCGGGACGTAGGATGCTTCAGCGGTTGGTTCGCCAGTGGCCGAGGCTGGAGCTGTACCTGTGCAGACAGCGCTTGGCATCGTTAGCAGTCAATTCGTTCGTCGAAAAAGAAATCGGAGTTCTGAGCACTCACCCAGATGGACAACAAGCTGGTTCATCGTCGGCGTCCACCGCACACGTTTGGCCGTTTTGGCAGCATATGTCGCTAAATCTCTCGCCAAGCTCCTCAGAGCATCGAAATGTGTTCGCTGGGCATGAATCGTCCCGTCTGAAGATGACAGAGGCAGGCGGAATGTAGTATGCTGGGGCGTATACTGCCGTTGCTATTGCTTCTACTTGAGGAATGTTCTGAGCAGATGTAGAAACTGCAACGAGGCCAAGCCAGATGCAACTATAACTGAACATGACGATGGTTGAGAGCAAGCGAACGAGAGATGATTGGGTTCAGCTGCGAGAACGAGGCTTAGGCATCAAGACGTTCTACTCCAGGCCGGTAAAGCATGCGAGGAGCAGCGAATGTTGGTTGAATTTGTGAATAAGAGAAGCCTTGGAGAGATCCTCGTCTCGTGTTTTCTCTCTCACTCACTCTTTTTCCTTTCCCCGGCCCTCGTCTATGCTTCCTTGTCAGCTTCCGGGTCCAGCCTCCAAGTCAGGGACCTAAGACGATTCCAGTGGGGTCGTTAACCAAAAGGCTTAGCCCGTAACGTCGCAAGCACTACAAGGTTGTGTACCTTAGTAGTGAGCAGACCATTCAGCTTGTTTCTTTGGGCAACAACATGACAGACAAGCCAACCAGCTCAGCGTACCCAGGTTAGGCGTGGGATGATGTCATGGGTCCCTGTTGGCTGAGCAACACTTGGCACTTAGCTAAAATCGACTCGATCAATGAACTTCACAATAGTTATTGTGTCAAAGTCAATGCTCACGTAAATACATTATACCCCCAGTACGATTGTTACTGTTGGTCAAAATAATTGAGATCGACCTATAACTTGATTCTTCAAAACCCTCGGACATGGCCCAAAATCTGTCGTAGCCGATCCAGTGCCTTTGTCTGAGGCACAGCATCAAGACCTTGATTCTTAACTTCTACGACTTCTCTTCGAGCTTCAGCTATCAGAGGTTCCAAACCCCCCCAGACATACTCTGTATACCCATTTAACACCTTGTTCCATTGATCAAGGTAGCTATTCCTCACTTCGTCGGCACTCGTTGTACCAAAGTGGAGCTGCCGTTCGAAATCTGCTTCAGGTCCTGCCTGGTCAAGAAACTCGGGGTTAAAGTTGAGTAAATCATCCCAGCTAAAGCCAGAGAAAGCCGGGTCTGCAGTGAATAGGGCTTCTCTCAGTTTGGTAGCCGCCTCTGGTGTAAGGCCCTCATCTTCAGCATCCGGATCATGAGCTCCAAGCAAAACATCATCAAGTGCCCCATATGATTCATCGAGTAGGTTGACTACAGCAGCACCATCCATCTTCTCTTGCTCCAGAACAGCGCTTGGCGTGGGTGGTATATAGTGACTTTGGTTTGCGAGCCTTCCATGTTGACTGGCATCCTCAACCTCTAAATTGGAGTCGGCACTGAAGAAGGCGTCAAATGCTTCCGCCGATGCGCCAGAAACCAAATTTGTCTGGGAGCGTAACGATTCACCAGGGGCTATTGATCGCAACCTGTGCGACGATGCCTCGCCCGTACTGGATGAGTTTCTGCCAGTAATGTTGCTGCCACTGGAGCTAGCTTTTTCGTGTGGTCTCTGGCCACTAATATCTGGACCCGTTCCGAAGGCATGGAGAGCAAGCCTGCCAGAAGCTTGAAGTCTACTAGTGATAGAGTCAGACTTTCCAGGATCGTTATCTGTGGCCTTTCCTTTCGATTTCGCAGATGCCTCGTTTCGTTGTTTTGCTCCCGGTTGTTGTCTGTTGTCGTTGTCCATGGCTGTCTATATCAGCCGAGGAGCATGAACAGCTATTGCTCCAGCAGTAGAGGCAATGAGTTGAGTGTCTTATCTGATAACTCGAAGGGAGAGAGCTTGATAGAAGAGTTCTAGAAGCCTGATGATGGGCACCTCGGTTCATTCGCTGTAGACATCTAGGATATGATTAAACTATAAAATAGCCGCGATGAAGTTAAACCGGGGGGCACATGTCAAAACCCCTCCGGGCGGATGAGCGGGTGCCGATCGGCATGGAGCTTGGCACCGGATTTCCGAGAAACGTTGATAATGCCTGATACCGCTCGTGAGTCGACACCGAAACGGCTCTGACCAGTATAATTGAGTCGAGAAGCTTGCCTAGGTAGTTAGGTAGTTATTCTTGAATGAGATGAGATCAAAACGGATCGCGCTCTATACTTTTACCACCAGTGCTGACCGTGCTGCCTGCTGTCTATCTGAATACCTTCCTATGGATGTCAAGTCATCCAAGCATACCCCGCTGTTACATCAAACTTGATCTAATAAATGGATTAAGGTAGATGTAAGCTGCGTAGAAGCGCCCAACGCAGTAGCCTGTCAGTGAGCCTCACTTTGAAGAACTAGAATGCCTACCTAGGTGGCTCTAGCTCTCGTCGCTAGCAGAGCTTACAGCTATGTATATCCCTGGTATGCCCAGAAGTCTGTCAAGATAGGTAAACTTGGGCTTCCAAGGGTTGAGCTGTTGGGGTCACTAGGTTGGTAACCCCTCACAAACAGAAGCAGCCCACACAGGCACGTTAAGTCATCGATTTTAGTATGCTGGTGGCGTCTAGCCTTGAGGCACAGCCTATTGTAGGCAATGAAGCCTTGGAGCTCTCTTGTGGCTTCTGGACCCAAGTGCCAACTCAGCTCTGAGCTGTTGCTTAACTCTTACTGGGAGGTGGTCCAGTCTCTCTCGCAGAATCATCAACGTAGGGGAACCTAACATGAGGGATCCACCATAAACTGTCCTATCCCATCGATCATTCAGCCAAGCCCAAACCAGGCCCGGCCAGGCCAACCCGAAATCGAACTGGATCAGATCAAAGCAGCTTGGCTTTTGTTTCTGCTGCGTCACTGCCCTTCCCAGCTTGTTCTTGATATGTTGTCGACACAAAATAAGCCGTCTTGTCTGCAGCGAAACCTTTCCGTACGTAAATATCACGAAACTCGATATATTACAGACATAACAATACCCACTACAGCTAAGCATAGGTGCCTAGTTCAAGACCTCCACTGTTGTCTTGAGCTGTCTTCCTTTACCTTAGGTAGTAGGTACCTTACCTACCTTCAGTAGGTGGCCAGGTCTTGTGCCGCCAGCCCAGTGCAGTGCAGTACAGTAGGCAGCTCATCAAGCTACCTACCTAAGCACAGCGCAGCTCAGCACAGACTTCAGAGCGTTCTCCCTCCACTCGCTGTCTCCTCCCTCATCTCTTTGGCCCGCCCCTCCGTTGCTTCTGCTCCTCGCCCACATCCAAATCCACATCCACATCCACGTCCAAACCAAAGCAGACCAGCCTACCACCATTACCACCCGACCATTATTCTTCAGCCTTGGACGCCTGCCCACCTCCTAGCATCATTCAGCCCTCCGCCGTCCTGCCGTCGATATTCCTTCCTGCCATCGGACAGGATAATTTTGGACGACGTCTATAGATCACGGCGGCATATCTTGGTAGACCCCACTGCGGCGCCGACAAAAGACGATATCCAGAAACGACACCGCCGCCCATCCACTCACCACCTTACCTTACGCTATCCAACACCCACCGCAACACCAGATCAGACGTGTGCTGTTGTAGCTTCCATCATCCATCCATCTCCCTTCGTGTCGCCTCGACTCGTCAACTTCAACTACTTCCGCTGTTTCCAAGTTCTCGGCTCCGATTAATCCTCACCTCCGCCTTGGCCCCGCCATTCGAATCCACAGCTATCGATTCTGACCTTTGCCTCCCTCGATCAACAACCACAACCCCTCCTAACCCCCGCCCTCGCCGCTCACCAAGATGGTTGATAGCGAGACGAATTCACCCACGTGGAAGTTCACGCAGTACGTAATCTCTCCTGATCCGTTATTGGGCTCCTCTCGCGTTTTTGAAGGTGAAGCTGAGCTGTCGTGTGCAGGTGTTTTGGTGACAAGGGCGATGTTGAGGACATCACCGAAGGTATGTCACCACCCTCTGCCTACCTCAGAGCCAGTTGTCCATCATGGTTACTAACTGCCACGCTCTGATACAGCTGATATCATCTCGACGGTTGAGTTCGACCATACCGGAAACTATCTCGCTACTGGCGACAAGGGAGGTAGAGTAGTGCTCTTCGAACGCAATGAGACGGTACGTCACCCCGAATGTCTTTGCGTGCGGCTTAACTTTGGTGCTGCACTATCTGTTGTCGCCGCTAACCATTGATGCAGAAAAAAACCTGCGAGTACAAGTTTCACACCGAGTTTCAGTCGCATGAGCCCGAATTCGACTATTTGAAGTCCCTCGAGATCGAGGAAAAGATCAACAAGATAAAGTGGTGCAGGCGACAAAACGCTTCACACTATCTGTTGTCTACCAATGACAAGACAATCAAGCTATGGAAGGTGTTTGAGAAGTCGCTCAAGGTTGTGGCGGAGAACAATCTCTCTCACGATGTAACTCCTGGGAGCATTGCAGGTGGTGGCGGCGCTCCCAAGCCTTTACCGTCTCATCAGTTTAAGAACGCCGCCGACCTAAAGCTGCCTCGGCTCACACATCATGACACAGTGGTTGCCGCCGTGCCACGCCGGACATACGCCAACGCACATGCCTATCATATCAACAGCATCTCGGTGAACAGTGACGGAGAGACCTTCATCAGCAGCGATGATTTGCGGATCAACCTCTGGAACCTCAATATTCAGGACCAAAGCTTCAACATTGTCGACATCAAGCCTGCCAATATGGAGGAACTTACTGAAGTGATCACAGCAGCCGAATTCCACCCCATGAGCTGCAACTGGTTCATGTATGCCAGCTCTAAGGGTACCATCAAGCTTGCTGACATGCGAGAGAGTGCTCTATGCGACCAGCACGCGAAACGTTTGTGCACCTGAATTTTAAGAACTTGTATAATTGCAGGCATGCTGACTACTCGTAGTATTCGAGCAGGAAGAAGACCCCTCGTCGCGATCCTTCTTTTCCGAAATCATCTCCTCTATCTCCGACGTCCGGTTCTCACATGACGGCCGATACATCTTATCTCGCGATTACCTAACTGTAAAGATTTGGGATATCAACATGGAGCGACAGCCTGTAAAGACGATACCGATCCACGAGCATCTCCGGCCACGATTGTGTGACACATACGAGAACGATAGTATATTCGACAAGTTTGAAGTTGTCTTCTCTGGTGATGCGAAGAACGTTATGACAGGCAGTTATAACAACAATTTCATGATCTATCCTTCAGACCCTGACAAGGAGGTCGAGGTGGTCCTTCAGGCGGACAAGTCGGCTTTCAAGGCGAAGAAGGTTGGTGTGCCCACACCAATCAACGCTTCGACAAGCCCAACAGCCACCAATGGCAAGAAGGGTGGATCTAGGGCTGGTAGTCCAGGCGGTCAGGGCCAGCGAATGCGTAAGGAGACAGACGCGGACCAGATCGATTTCAACAAGAAGATCCTGCATATGAGTTGGCATCCCTTCGAGGACAGTATTGCGATTGCAGCTACGAACAATGTAAGTAAAACTGAAGCACACCTTTGTATGTCAACCCATGGCTAACCTGCGGGCACAGCTCTTTGTCTTCTCGGCACTCTAGACCATGGTAACGGCGTTCATCTCGTAGGGCAGTTAAGCGACCTAGCCCCTGGCTTGAAGTCGAAGTCGCAACAGCAAGAGTATAAGTACTTCAGCCTCCGTCATGGTGGGATCTGCCCAGTTCTTCTTGGGCAAGACGTGATATATCGATGGTGTAGGAAACGATAATACGGAACAACACGACCTACTATACTTAGAAGCGATAGCACGTATCATCGATAGTGCTTGGAATGAATGCTATGCGGAGAGAAGGAAGAAAGCTGGAAGAGGCCCTTTGGATGTGGCCGTTGAAGAGACTGACGATAGAGAGCTACTGGCTATCTGTCTATGAAGCAAGCGAATGAACCAGCGGGACGAGCCACATGGGAGGGAGGTGAACGGATGCATTGGCTGGCATTTGGTCGCCACGTGTAGCTGAAACCACAAAGAGACTATTGAGAATCAAAGAAATGCCACTCATGCCTGAGAAGAAGCCAGTTGAAATTGTGGATGGCTATTCGCCCGCCGTCCGAGTCAGTGGAGTCTCGAGGGAGACTGATGATGGGTAATGGTAAGGTTAGATGCAGGGGCCGCATTCAACGCCTCTGAGAAGAACACATGTAGTTGATTGTTTGGCCACATCTTGACCAATCCGCCATTTGTATTTGTATCGTGAGGCAGGCCTATGTAAGCTTCATAGCCAATATCTAAGGCTTTCGAGCTGCCATGACCTCTAATGCAGCAATGTTCCATCACGTAGTACCTACCTGCGATGGATGGTCTCTGGTTGAATTCAAGTTACTTGAGATGAGATAGGGCTGTTCAGCTAGCACTAACTCTTTCCGTGTACCCAGTACGGTTTGGTCCAATAAAATCTTGGTGAGTATGCAGGTACAGTGGTACCGCTGTCCTGGTGCGGGTCAATGCCTAGCCTTACCTACCTAGATACCTAAGAATCGAGGAGTCTGAGTGTCCCTCGGCCCCCGTCTCATCTTGGCTCTTCTGCATTCATTACCTGGAGGACAAGCAAGACACAAGGGCAACACCAATAAATCGGCCCAGCCGCTTTTTGTCAGCAGAGCTCTTTGTTGAGGGATACCACCCGTCACTCCCTTTTTTTTACTATTTACACCTCCCATCCCACAGAGATGACGACCGAAATACCTTCCCACATCCTCCGCAAGAGGACAGCAGCCTCCGACATGACGGTCCTCGAGAACTCGGTCCGTCGTGGCAGCGCCTCTCACGGCGCTCCTGTTAATGACCTGGAGCAAGGATCGAGGTCATCAGTAGTGCAGAACATTGCCAATCTGGTGGCTTACGAGGTCGGGCCTTCATTACTGACAGTCGGTGTCATGTTAAGCTTGATCTTTGGAGGATGCTGTTCAAATGTACGTTATCATTTCCTGCCCCCCGCTACCAATTGTCTTACATGGCCATATGGATTGACCCAGCCCATCCTGGCTTTAGGTTTATGCTCTTGAAGCTATCGTCAAGTGAGTTTCCCATGTGTATAATCATCCATACTGTGCTATGAGACTGATGAGTTATTTCTATAGCTTTGAACCATCAAGTGGTATGAAAATCGTTCGCGGCCCCGTGACCTACTGACGCATTCTTTTCATTACAGGAACTCTCTTGACGTTTGTCCAATTTCTCTTCGTCGCTGTGACAGGATTCATCGCTCAGTTTGATAAGAACAGTCGTTTCTTCCTTACACCTAACAAGGTTCCCATCAGCCGTTGGATATTCAACATTGTTCTCTTCTTCACCATCAATGTCCTCAATAACCACGCCTTCAGTTATGATATTTCCGTTCCAGTTCATATCATCCTTCGATCTGGTGGAAGTATCACAACCATGGCCGCAGGCTATCTATATGGCAAGAGGTATTCTCAGATGCAAGTTGTTGCCGTCATCCTCTTGACACTCGGCGTCATCTTGGCTGCATGGTCGGATGCTCAAGCCAAGGTAGACATTCCTTCTATGAGCTCTGCTAGGCATACGCTAATAATGAATCTTGGCTATAGGGTACGAGTGAAAGCAGTGGTCGTCCAGCCTTCAGCACTGGACTAGTGATCCTCTTCGTGGCTCAGCTTCTTTCGGCCGTCATGGGGCTTTACACGGAGGCAACATACGCCAAATACGGCCCTCAGTGGAAGGAAAACCTTTTCTACTCGCATGCCCTCTCTCTGCCTCTGTTCCTGCCCTTCGCTCCTTCAATGGCACGAACTCTTACTCATCTTATGACGAGCACCCCGGTGCAGTTACCGGGCGTTTTCGGCTCGGCGACCACTAAGTTCCAGATTCCCAGTCAGATCCTATTCCTTATTACCAATGTTCTTACTCAATATGCTTGCATCCGGGGGGTCAACCTTCTGGCCGCTGCGTCAACGGCTCTCACCGTTACCATCGTCCTCAACATCCGAAAGCTCGTCAGCCTACTTCTAAGCATTTGGCTATTTGGCAACAAGCTAGCTCCTGGTACACTCCTCGGTGCTATTATTGTTTTCAGTGCCGGCGGGCTGTACTCAGTGGGTTCGAGAAAGAAGACATCGGCGGAGAAAGGAGTTTCTGCCAGGGACAACAAAGCAAGCTGAGGAGCATGTTACATGTTTTCGGTATATAGGGTTTACGCGAAGCTCAACAAATTGTAGACGGCGCTGATGGTTTAGGGCGACCTTGCATATCACGAGAGACGATCTCAGTGTAGACGGACGTCTTGTCCAATGCTACCATGTCGGCGTTATGGTGAATCTTATATACTAACGAATACCAAAAGCTAAAGGGCTTATACAGACTAGACAATCGAGAATGCCATTTTTATAGACCGTGTGTATTTACCATAGTTGCGTTCATATCAAGTGCCTGTAGTGCTCGTAGGGAGGAATCCTTATACCACACAAAATACCGACGACATCCTTGGAATGGGAAACTGGAAGCAACTTGGACGGAATGAGATGTCGGTCAGGCCTACGCATCTTCAAGGTTGTCATTCGAACGCATATCATTCTGGTCTCCAACACCAACGCGGAGAACAATATTCAGATACGTCCTGTAGTCAACGCCGCCCCCTACAGGTTATCTACCACTCACACACTTATAAACTCATGGCAATGGTTATCGACACCAGCAGGAGCCTGGATCTCAGACTCATCTGCTATCACCCAGACTTATTTTCCCGGCATGTCGCATCCACAAACTGGTTCTCAGCAGACAACCTCTAATGGGGAATCCACTCTATCAAGACGACGAAAGACTGTTTCGTGCACTACAGTTCGTACCCGACTCGGTCAGCTGCGACTAACTGGGCGGTATGACTGCTTCAGGCTCAATTGCCACCCTCTCTACGACGGCAAGTCCATGTGGCCCGTTCCATACCACTTATTCAGGAACAGTGATATCGCTAAATGGATCCAGGGGCCTTGATGCTTTCTAGCTGATTCAGTTGAGTATGACTAGGATGTTGATCAGAGTGTCCGCGAACTTGTGGACATGATCAGCTCAGCTCAGCAGCAAGACGGCTACCTGAACGTTCATTATATTTTGGTTGAACCGGCAAAGAGATGGACCAAAATCCGGGATATGTATAAATCGTAGGTCGTCAAACAGGTCCGGTTACTTTCAGGGAGCTGACTTGGCGACGAAGATACAATGCGGCCATCTCATAGAGGCCGTAATTGCTCATGAGTAATACTATAAGAATAATTTACTTCTCGGGCCTATTAAGAAGTATGTATCTCTCATCATGGAGCCATTTTGGCCACAGAGAAGGCCAGTTAAAAGGCTATCCTGGTCAGACTGAAATCGAGTTATCGCTTTTTCGACTGTACGCTGCTACGGGTAATACCAGAGTTCGACCTGGCACAGTATTTTCTGATGGGACTAGGAAATACTGATGGAAATGAAGGGAAACACTTCTACGGCTGGGAAAGAGAGAAGAGAGGCGAAAGCGTGTCGCTGTAGTCGAACTCATATCCTCAATCGACGGCTTATTGGTATAGTCAAGCTTATGTTCCAATCACAGCACAAAACACAACTTAAATACACGCTGTCAGAGCTGGATACCTTTTAATTACTGTTGCTGACATGTTGCATCTCTCCGCAGAGAGTGGAAGGCTTTACCTAATGTCCAAGCATGGTCACAGGTACTGCATAAGCTGTGGGACAACATGGTTGATAGGAAGATGTACTTGACTGGAGGCATCAGTGTTATGGTACAGCGGGAGAGCTTTGGAATTGACTACCTCCTCCCTCAAGGAACAGATGAAGGAGGCTGCTATGCTGAGACATGCGATTCGATTGCTTTCCTCATGCTCGCGCAACGAATGTTACACCTTGATCTCGATTCTCGATACGCCGATTTTGTCGAGATATGTCTTTAGAACACTATCATGGCGGCCATAAGTTTGGATGGTAAGTCCTTCACTTACATCAACCAACTTGCCAGCTCTGACACCGACAAAAACGTGTCTGAGAGGTGGTTCTGGTGCGCTTGTTGCCCTCCAAACTTGATGGGACTATTCGGCAGTTTGGGCGGCTATCTTTGGGATTATGGTAATGATGTCAAAGGCGTCTTTGTGAATTTCCACTTAGACACCAGTGCCGAGTTACAATTCAAGGCGGGCTACTCAAATATCACACCCCGGCAGAAGACCGACTGGCCACTAGAGGGCAAGGTTGACTTCAAGTAATCGTCTACATCATTTTTGCAGACCGCCATCCGGCTTCATTTGCCTGCTTGGTTCAAAGGAAGATTTATTACATTGTACCTACCAGCGAACTTGTACCGCCTCAGATGTTGAGGAGGGTTATACATCTCTACGGCCTTCCTAACTCTCTGAAAATTCTCGGTTCTCACTATACAGTCATGGTTTCGTGCCAATATTTATATCACCCCACGCCCCTACTCAAACTAAAGCAAATTATCCCTCACATGAGGCCAATCGTCTATTACCTTAAAGATTTCGATAACCCCTCAGAATCTAATCATTTCAAGGATGTATTCATTCGAACAGACTCATCGGTTACTGAAGAGAAAGTGGACCATGAAGCGTCCGGCGAAGAGTATGTTGCGATGCAAGCTAAAGGGTGGAAGCAGTCACCTTCAGCACTTGAATCACCATCGCCAGAGACTGCCGAGTCTGTGAATTTGTTTTTTGTTCCATACTATCTCAGAGCTAACAAGGGAGGGAATGGTCAGATGAGGGTTAGCATATCAAACGGTGGCAGCGAGCCAGGGGTTCTTTTCTCTGAGAGACTCTGACTGTGAATCTCCAATGCCTAACGTATAACCAAGACTTGAAGGGTAGAAGAATATGGGGTTTCTTCATTCCACCTTCACCTGAGGCCTGACCGAGGACTTGGCTGATATTGAGTGATGTCGTTTCCCGTTCGAGTATGTCGCGAGACAACACTCAGCACACGAATAACATTGAGTTTTAGATGATACATATACTTCTCTGAAAAGCGTCCTTCTTTTGATAGAGAAGCTACCTCTTCGTAGGATCAGAACTATGACATACGCATTTGCAGTGATTCACTTACACTCCCCTATCAAGCTTGAAAATCCCAAGAATGAGAAGCAGAAAGTGAAGCCACTGTCAAATTCGTCTTGCATGAATGCGTAGATGTACTTTGCTTAAACCCAATGCCCAACGCACTTACCCTGTCACTCCTACTGCCTCAAAATCTCCTTGTCTAGGGTCTCCTCTATCAAGACCAGGGATTTGACCCGATACTACGGTTGCAGCAACGGACCATGTAACGCGGCAGAGGACCCGTGTTTCCGAATTTAGTGGAGCTGAGGTGGTGGTGACTTCGGTTCCTAATATTCTGATGAGCTTACTCTATACCTTAGTACTTATCAACGTTTATGGCAAAGGTGATTCTTCAGCGTATTCGCGGCACTTGGCAAGCCAGCCGTGATCAAGCCTATGATTCGAATTTAGTGTCTCACTGTGCTCTGAAAGACTGCGGGAGTACGTTGCCTATCTAATGCTTAATGGTATATTCTTCGCAAGATGCCGAGCCCCATCTGCATCTTGATACCGTACCTTTGATGGGAAAAGTCATGACTTGCGGATCTCAATCGGCGAGAAGTCAACGATGAGATCTGGTCACTGCAGCTCTTCCAGAATCGAGGCTTTATATCCCTTAGTAAGGTAGTTGGATATTGAGCCAAGGTTGGTACTTTAAGTTGAGACCCCTGTCTTGTAGGAGAACGGCGGTTGCCGGTTCTGTGGAGCCCTATCTCGAAGAGTATTCTGCTTTGAGGAGATTTATATGCATATCTGATATGGAGAAAAACCACTACTATCTTGAAACAGGCGCACAACACCTCCTTCATCCGGTAAGGGAGAGTTTCCAAGGAGCAACTATCATGTGGAGCTTTAACTCAATACCGAGTAGATGCCTCAATGAGTTTAGATGGGACCTCTAACCCCCCGCCTTGCCTACGACGTGCATTGCACCGACGCATTTTCCCGCTATGACCCGCTATAAACCCTGGTGTGTCACACCGTCATACCTTTCCTGGGGTTCTCTGTCTTTGCCTCTCTTATTGTAGGCACACTTCCTAGTGCTCTCCTCTTTCAAAGGTCCTCTCGAGAATTTGAATCAAATCAATCACCATCCCCAAAGCCATCACCCGAGGGAGGAGTTACAAAATCGAGGGAACTTGATCTGCTAGCCAAATCGTATTCAGATCAAGGCATCGCCATGACTGGTACGTATTCCACAGCTCGCCCTGCCCCTCCTCCGCTGCGCCAGACCCAATATCACGAACCCTGCTTTGGTTCTCGACGATAACGACAGCAATTGGAAACTTTTCTGACCGAGAATATGCCACAGGCGGCCCTATCTTCGAGGAAAGCGAATCAAGCGCTCTTGATGTGCGGGCACGGGAGTCAGATGAGGAGATAGACGAGACTAGAGATTCTGGTGCAACCGGACATGGCGCCTCGCACAATGCTCCCTCTGACGCTGGCTCCCACACCGGCAACGAAGCTGAGGAGCTCGAAGATGGGATGCTTCTCCGCGACTTGCCCAAGAGAACTACTTTTTACGATCCTGTCGCTGAGCGTCAAATGAGCCAGACGGACGCAAAATACTTCTATCACCGAAACAAGGCCGATGCACGCAGCGGTGGTGGGGCTGGCTACCAATCTATACCGCAAAGTCCTTTCCTTGCTTCTGGGTCTCGCCCTGCAACCGAATATGGTGCCGATAGTCTTGTGCTAGACTCGAGTGGTCGTCGAGTCGATTCTTTCCCTCCTAGTCTAGAGATGCCAAACCCTGCCGTTGACTCAGGGTTTACTCAATCTCCTACAAAACTCGATGCGCAACCTGCCCCATTCCCACCTAGTCATCCTTCTGCCCTTCCTCATGCTGGCCAGGTTGCCCAGGATCCACGGCTACCTGATGGCTCCAGCAATGGCCTGCCCTCTGGTGGACTCTTCGACACTGAGCCCCATATCACTTCAGAATTGAGCGCTATTTCAAAAAACATTCAGAGAATCCTCGACACCAGGCGCAAATATATCGCCCTCTCGAATCAGGGGCCTGATGATAACCCAAGAGACGGCCCGGATTGGGAAAT